CATCATTTTCAAACGGAAATAACATTTTATAGTAGGATCGTCCTTTCGAAAGTTTCTTTCTCTTTTTTTCTTTTTTAGCAATACGTGCAAGACAAACACAAAAGAAAAGAAAAGAACTGTTAAAGTAACAACTTTTTTCCTATTTTTTATATTTTTTTTTTCGTACAAAAACTCTTTGACGAAAAAGAGACGCGAACTTAACGTTTCGCTTTTTAAATAATTACGCTTCTTTTTATTCGATTTGTTTTCCGCGTAGAAATACAAGTTGAATAACACGCGTGTAACACGTTTTGCTTTTGTTGTTGCAAAAGATTTATAGTCGAACGTAAAAAACGTTCAACAACGCAGACGAGTTTTATTCTGTTCTCTGTTCATTACAGTTCACCTTCTACGAAATCAACTCTTACATCATCTCTTAGTTCCCATAAGTGTTTTCTTTATTTCTTTCTCTTCCATACTTTGTCTTTTTCCTTTTTATTTGTCAGCAAGTAGACAACGTACGTAGAAATAACGAACGAACAAGTTTCCCATCTTCTTTTTCTTAAAAATGTTGGACATGTCAGTGTCTTTCTTATCATTTGACATAATTTATCACGTCGGATAAAATGGTGGAATACCAAAAGGGCCTCAAAATGTCCCCAAAGTCTTAATATGATTTTATGTATTTTGTTTTTAAATTTATTATCATACAGATGTTAATTAATTTTTTCAATCTAATTCAAAAATATACCAACGCATTTATCGATCATTTGTATGCATTATTATTTTTATTATTTATTTCATTTCACGATTAATAATCGTAACACACAACCACGATACAATCGAAATATTTATCTATTTATTTGTAGGGTAATACGTAAATAATTAAATGAACATTAATGATTATTATTGTGTTATAATTTCTATTTGATGATATATTAATTATATTTAAGAGATATGATAGTAAGGGAATATAAAATATGTATATAGTATACGCATGCGTTGATATCTCCTGTAGTTAAGAATATATTAGCAAGCTTGTTCATGATCGTGCCCAAAGACCGTTTATGTTAATGTCCTTATCATACTTGCCAACTATCAAGGAGGAAGTCCCTTTAACGTTCACACCAAGGCTACAAATACTCACGAGATCCTATTTATTATTCTAACTACGCTATTTCGAAAAAGTCTAGCTTGAATTTTTAAAAAGCTGAACTTTATGGTTCGATCGTTTCCATACACTTTGAAGAATATACAATTAATAATAATAATACAATAAAGCGTAAATAAATTTAAACGAGGGAATAAAATTTAAATTAAAATTAATTTTAAAAAGTAATAATATTGAATGAATAATAATTAAATTATACGGTTATATGTAATTAAATAATTATATTAATCGAATGATTAAGTTGGTTGTCATACGTTAATTAAAATGAATGAGTTTAACGGTAATAAATTTTTGGAATGTCTGTTAGTTTCTTTTTTTTCTATCTATTCTTCAACTTAAAAAAATAAAAAGTTAAATGACAAAATGATGAGGGGTTTAAGTTTTCCCTCCAGATTTGTTCAAAGCTAACGATATTTCGCGCGAGATTTGTCGAAATCCTGTGAATTCGATCGTAGGGAAACGAATTATACGGATCGTTCGTTTGATATTCCAGTCATTCCTTCCTCTTGAAAATGCGTTCGTCGTTCTTCTACCCAACAGTGGTGTATTAAGCGGCCGGGCCCTCGAGATATTAACATTTCTTTTCATTTAAGGAAAATTATACTTCTTTTTATACAAATTTAATTATTGTTTTGCGGTTATGTAATTTTCGATCACTTTTTTTTTTGTTAATAATTAGATGGGAGTGTAGTTTTTTAAATTTTCTTTTTTCCTAACATCAATTTGTTTGGGCTTCGAAATTTTTACCGTTTGGGATCTCCACTCAACTTGATACGCCACTTTTTTCTATCCTCGCCATTTTTAAATTCTTTTGTATTTTTTTATTTTTAGTATTTAAACATAACCTGGAAGGGGTAAAACAAGTCTATTATTTTCTTCTTTCTTTTTTTTTACTTTTTTCTCGCGTTTACGTAAATACGAACTGCGTAAAAGTAATTTAATTATGCGCAACAAAACGGACATTAATTAGATCGTCGACGAAGTTTAAACGCGTTGAAACAATTTTAATTGGACGCGTGCGAAATTATTCTTCTTCTTCTTATTATTATTATTATTACTGTATCATTTAATTGTCATTTGAAATAATTATTATAATAACGAATAATATAAATAATTCATGAAATTAATTTAATTTGCCAATCCCAACAATTTGTTTTACTTCTTTTTCTTTTTATTTTATTATTATTAAAAATAATATTAATAATAATATAATCATCTATACCATAGAATATATATTTATTTGTAAAAATAGTATTTATCGATAAAATTTTTATCGTTGAAATTGAAGATGAATAGTAAACGGAGAAAATCTAATAAGTATTCCCATTGGATCCTTCAAATGTCACACAGGAATATTTCCATTAATTCGACCGTACTCTATCTACGGTGTCCCGTGAGAATTCTGAATTTGAATAGTATTACAAGACAGAAGGAACGAACGAACGAACGAATAAACGAACAAATGAAAGATAGAGAGAGAGAGAGAGAGAGAGAGGGAGAAAGAAAATATTTCCATTTCGTCATACCACGTATAGTTAATAAGTTTCGAAATAGACGAAACAAAAAAGATCCAAAGAAATAAAGCAAAAAGGTTTCCAAAATGTTATCAAATAACATTTGGAAAATTCCCACGTATATTTCGAACAATACTCCAATTAAAAAAAAAAACAAAAAAGAAAGAGAGAGAGAGAGAGGAAACGTGTGTATAAAAAAAAATATTTCATACCGTGATATTTTATCAATTAAAATTGTACATATAATAAATAATGAAGAAAAGTATAACCTGTGTTTTGTTGTAACATATAAAATAAACAAAAATATCCATCTACCAATCCATTTGAATATGAAATATTAATAAATCAAAAATAATTGTTCAACGTTTATAAATAAATTTCCAAAAAAATATGCCATCTATAGGCGGGGGTAATGTGTTTTCAAATAATAATATAAATTTCTATAAATTATTTTCGTTTTGATTGCATAACAAAAAAATTAAATACAACACGTAAACACACAAATGTATCTGTATGGGTTTTTAAATGCATGGTAAATTTCATTTCCGTGTTCTTTTCTCTCTCTCTCTCTCTCTCTCTCTCTCTTTCTTTTCCATATAAGTGCAAACAGAAAGTCTATTAACTGAAAGAAAGGTGAAGAAGAAAAAGCTAAAGAAAAAATACCGCAAAGAGAGAGAGAGAGAGAGAGAGAAAGAAAAAAGAAAAAAGAATATGAAAAGATAAAAAAGAAAAAATGTATGGCATGACGCGTGTCCGTTAACGCTCCTGCTTTTAACGGTTACAGAAAAGAGATAAATATAAGATAAACAAATGACGTTTCTTGTAATATACATTAACGAATATCTTTTACTTTAGAATATCTTCCTCCTTTCATCACGATCTATCTAAATAAGTATATACTTATCTACTTAAATATACATACGCACATATATAGATATATAAATACATTCGTATACATAAATTAATGGCACTTAGGTTAATCTGCGATTTATTCGAGTTCGAATTATCAAAATAGTGAAATTCATTTATTAATACAAAATTAACGATTAAATTATGGTATTATTATATTCGTCGTTTTAATTTTTTTGTTATAATTATTAATGTTTAAAATTTCACCAGATCTTATATGACTTCGATATGTATATTTATCTCGAAGAAAAAAGAAATTTTTATAATAAATGTTTTACGCCAGAAAGTAATTTCGTTTTGTTTTTCTCATTCGCGAAAAGACTTCAACGAAGGCTCGCTTCGGTATCGAGCTTTCTTTATTTCTTGAAAAGATTTCAACGATTGTTTTCTCTCTACTTCAAAATATATTATATTAAATATATTTTTTTGCTTTTTCTTTTTCTTTTTTCTTTTTTCTTTTTTTTTTTAACGTAAAAACCTTAATTCTTTTATTTTGTTATTTCCCATACGACTTTTATTACTTTTTTGCTTTTTATTATAACTGTGACGTTGAATTATTAAAAAAAGAAAAAAAAATGATCAAACAAAACAAATAAAAAAAGAATACGTTTATTCTAATTATCCTTAAACAAATTGTTGTAAACTTGAGTAGAAAATATAGAACGAAATCGATCGATCGAATAAAACGAGCTTTCAATTTTTACGAGTCTATATATAAAAGAGAAAAACGAAGTATAAATTTTTAATCCTTTCTATCTTGTTCAGTAAAAATACGAAGAATTTTTATTTTTATCTTTTTTCATTTTCCTTTTTTTTTTCCAGACAAGAAATTCAATATATGTTTCATATCCTGTTTTTCTGAATTTACTTTCCTAACCTTACTTAAAGAAGGTTCTTAAGTAAAACGAAAAAGAAGATGAAGAAGCAAGATAGAAAGAAAAAAAGAAATAGAAAAAAAAAATCTGTCAGGCGGCGTATATAAACGATCAAACGATCATCCTCCTCCCCCCACCCCCATCGAAGTAAATAGATTTTCCAAAATATACGAAATACGACTCAAATTAGTTTATTCGATTGACTTCGTCGATTTCGTTTTAGTATCACGAGTCCTGTTACGTAATTTCGATCACCCCGACTGTTCACCTCCATCACTACCACCACCCCCACCACCACCAACACTACGACCATCACCCATCACCACCACCATCAGAGTTTGATCACGACGATTCTCAACTACCTTTAAAACTCTATAACCTTCTATGAAAAAATATTCTAATACACGCACACAATCCTTCATAAACTTTATCAACAATTTTGTCAATAAAAATATCTTGAAAAATAGCCCCCCATGCAATATTATAATATAAATAAAAATATATAAACACAAAAAAGAAAAGAAAAGAAAACGAAAAAAATACTTATAATACCTCGATATTTTACGATGTATTTATTTCCCCTCGCTCATCCCCGTTGGAAAAATTGTCCTCCCTTTATCTGGAAAAGAAAATAACAAAACAAGGAAATAAAATTAAAAGCCAGGATTATGGTAAAGAACTGAAGGAGAGAATTTGAAAAGGGAGGCACTGACCGCGACGGATAACCCATTCTGCTCGAGTCCAGAAGAAAAAGAGTGAGATATCGATACATAGTGTTACGTACGATACCAACTTAGTGTGGGGGTGTGCATATATATGTGTATATGTATAGCGTGTGTGTGTGTGTGTGTGTGTATGCGAGAAGAAAGAACAAGGCGTTGCTAGTAGTGGGATGGTGGAGTGGTGATACAGGTAAAACCCATATCGACCTGGCGCCACCAGGTGTCGCTCCAATCATCCCCTCTTCGTATCCTTGTTTCTCTCTCTCTCTCTCTTTAACCCCTTATCATCCCCTCTTCATATCCTTGTATCTCTCTTCACCCCTATGATACCCCTCGTTCATCCCCCCGTTGGTTTTTCCCCTATAGTGAAACACGAACGAATGAACGGGAACGATTGCATAGGTATAAGAGAAGAATAATTCTCATGTCGATCGCAACAACGTGGGTGGTGGGAGTGGTGGTAGTGGTGGTGGTGGATGAAGGTTGGAAATACTCGGATGGTTGTGTGTTAGGGGCTGAGACACGGTTATGGTAGCGCCAATCCCAGAATCCCCGATTCTGTTCAGCGACTGCGCCTTGGTTAGAAACTCTTCCGCTCAGGCTCGTACGTTTGCCTCCAACTTAGGCTAACGGGGGGGAAACGGAAAGAGGGTAACCGCATCGCCCGGTGGCGGGGAGAACCTCGAGGACAGACGTTGAAAAGCCACCCCGACGGAGAGACACGCCGAGACGCCCCTGTCATCGGGAGCCCTTCGGTATTAGTAAGTTCTTTTTACATTTTTTATCTTTTTCTTTTTTTTAAATATCCACATTTCTTATCGTAAATTTGAATTTTTTTTTTCCATTCTTATTTTGCGTAGTCTCATTATTCGCAATAATTTTTTAACATTCTAATATAGGGTTGTGTTCCTTTTTTTTTCTTGGGGTTGGTACGATGTTCCGAATGTTTCCTAAAGTTTCTTTTTTTTCTACATAAATTTATATGAAATATATAAAATTAGATTTATTACAATACGTATATAGAAGGGTGCGGCAATAATTCAATTCCACTTTGAATCTGTAATTTGTAATAATAATACGAAAAATAAGGTTTGGTACAAAACTTGTATTGCCTAGAGTGGTGGCCATATTACGATGTCTATTTCTTTAACGTAGGTGCAAGCGTAGAAAAGATTTCAAGGTCATTTTCATTTTTTTTTTTTAAATTGGATGACCTATTTTCTTTTTTACTGCATGGCGATAACCAACGTTATACATATATATGAAGTGTATTTAGTGAGATATAATTAATTGATTAAAAATAATAAAGCAATAATCCATTAATTAATCCATTAAACAAATGACTACTACCATTATAGCATATTAAAATAAATAATATAAACGAATAAAAAGTAATGTTTCAGTTGAAATATCTTTGCAAATATCTTTGTTTTCGAAAGGTTTGTTATTTTAAAGGCTCGGTTGTCGACTCGACTGAAAAGGTGGAGGGCCCGGGGACGCGAGGAGCCAAGGAGTCCTCCTCCGTGAATGACTCGACGGAGGAAAACCGACCGGACGTCGCCGCGACTTTGACCGGCCTGTTCGCCGGACTTCCAACCTTGGCGGGTCCCCAACGACTCGCCAATTCCCTCAGGCAGAGGTTTGCTAACCATTCTGGTAAGTCGAATAACTATTCATTTTCTCATCTCTTCATCCCCTCCTTTCTTCCTTCCTTCCTTCCTTCCTTCCTTCCTAACACACTGCAAAGGGGTTTCAAGATCAACCCCTTTCTCGTTACAATTATCCTTCGTAATTAATAAAACGAGGGTCACCGCGAACAATAATTCCTCGGATTATTAACCTGATCTACTTTACCAATCGATATTTTATATATATACACCTAAGTGTTACGTATCAAAAGAACGAGAGGTTATTAACCAAAATATTTGTTAAGTCTACTTTTTAGCTACTTTGCATTCAATGAGTTTAACCCAGAAACCTAGGCTCGTTTATTCAAGGATTAAATAGTGATTAAAAAATAAAAGAATGGCGAATGATAAATAGTAAAGGGTTTTTTATTCGTTATCACGGTCTGATTATTAACGTGAGAAAATTTCGGAGATTAAATTAGGGCTGGTTAATCAATCCAGCACGATTGGCTCAGGCCCGCTCTTTAACATATATATTATATATGGTGGTATCGTTGGTGACGCAAATTACTTCGCCGGTTGAAGTGACCTCGAGGGAAGGGGATCCAGGGTAGTTCTTGCGAAGGGATCTTCTGGAGGTGTAGGGGTGTAGTAAGTCACGTCGATGATTCGTTGAAAAAGATCCAATAGGAATCAGCGAATTATTATTCCATTTGCTATTTCATTTGATCGATCTTTTATTTATATTACGAATCCATCAGTTGTTTTATTTCAACTATTGAAAATAAGTACTCACTTGTCTTTCGTTTTAATCACTAAATTTTGTCTTAATTACCTTTTGCCCAAACTACTTAATGTTGACCTATCGACCTTTTATATTAACTACTGGAAATTGTTTCGTACGTCATTTATATAAACTACTAAAATAGTTTCGCTCAAGATTTAGTCATACTACTGCGAAAAATTATTCCACGCGTAATAACAACGCGATAGTTTACAAATTTTCTATATTTTTCATTATAATACGTGTTTATATATATATATATATATATATTATAATAACGTTAGAATTTAATAATAATCTCTTGTGTTTTGATTAACGATCAAATGTTCATTACAATTGGACACATTCTCCCAGTTGTGTATTGTATTTCTTTCAATAAGATCTACGTCCTTTCAAATTGATTTTTTTTTCCTTCTTTCAAAGAGAGTGAATGAGAGTGAGTGAGAGAGAAAGAGAGAGGGCGGGGGGGGGGGGGGGGGTAGTATTGGTCGAAAGTAATTAACAGTGGGGTATAGTAGACCCTTCTAACAAAGCCACACGATGTCGACCCCGTTTTCAGTTCAGGTTCACTCCTGTGTTTTTATCTCCGGTAACACGATACCTGATACCCAGACAATGTGAGAGAGAGAGAGAGTTGAGGGGGAGCCCTCACCCGGGGGTAGGGTGTCGTGTTAACTCTTACTACGAACCATTGGTAGAGAAGTGCGTGCGTAAATCAGCCCGAAAGCTTTGCTTCGAGGGTTCTTTCGTGTCTTCTTTATTACGATGACGAGGATTCTCGCATATGGTCGGGTCGGGTAAGACGTTAAAAAAATAAAAAAAGAAAAAAGAGGAAAAGTTTAAATGCTCGCTGACCAGGCCGGGTCAGGGCTCCCCTTACATTTTTTTTTAAACAATTTCAACTCGTGATTATCGTAATAATCGAGTATCGATGTGTTAAATCCTAATTATTATTTAAACGGATACTCTCGATAAATATATATATGTGTGTGTGTAAAGAAAAAAGAAAGAAAGTATACAATGAGGAAAGTTAAAATAAAATTGATGCAAGATATATATATATATATATATATGTTAATGTTGGAAAAGATAAATATATTAGAATATAATTGAATTGGAAAGTGTATGCATTTATAGATATGTGTATGTTAAACGTATCACGCATACGCACATATATTTAAATATATATATATGTGTGTATATCAGAATTTCGCGGTATTTAATCGTATCAACTCGGTGATCTGTTGTAGGTTACCCCCGGCCCGGCCTGATGCGCATCGACCCAATCGCGACGATCTCCTCGTCACGCTCGCTCGATTGTAAGAAAACAAGCAAACAAACAAACAAGGTCTTCTTCTTCTTCTTCTTCTTACATGCTGATAGGGATTATTAGTTCCTCTCGTTAGTTTCAAGAAATAATTTCAAACGCATATGCACTACAAGAACCACCTTAATCACCAACAATTATCACCACCACCACTACCAACACCATTATCATCATTATCATCATCATCATCGGTACAACTACAACAGTAGCGAAATTTAGTTTTGGAATAATTTGGATTTGAAAAAAAAAAGAAAAAAATAGAAGAACAATGACGACGATACCGATAATCAACATGGAAGTTGGGGCCTTGAAAGAGATCGTATGGACGAAATTACAAGAACCTAAAGCTCAACGTAAGCTGGTATTGGTGATCGTATCGGTGGCATTGTTGTTGGACAACATGTTGTATATGGTGATAGTACCGATAATACCGCATTATTTGAAATACGTTGGTGCATTTGGAAATGATGGTGAGGAAGGTAACGAAACGAGTAGTCCTGCAGTCCATCACGGACAGGACTCGGCAACGGGAGTGTTGTTCGCGTCTAAAGCTATTGTCCAGTTAATGGTGAATCCGTTTTCTGGTGCATTGATAGATAAAATCGGTTACGACATACCAATGATGATAGGATTGTGTATAATGTTTTTGTCAACTGCCGTATTCGCATGCGGCAGGAGCTATAGTGTATTATTTTTTGCACGAAGCTTACAAGGAGTTGGTTCGGCGTTCGCTGATACGTCTGGTCTGGCTATGATTGCTGATAGGTTTACAGAAGAATCCGAACGTTCCAAGGCACTTGGAATAGCTTTGGCATTTATAAGTTTTGGATGTTTGGTAGCACCCCCCTTCGGTGGTGCATTGTATCAATTTGCCGGTAAGGAAATGCCATTTTTGATATTGGCGTTCGTCAGTTTGGCCGATGGTTTTATGTTGTTGTTGGTAATGAAACCGTTTAAGGAACAATTGAAGGATAGAAATCGAGAACGTGAACCTACGATACCGATTTGGCGATTATTGATGGATCCTTATATCGCGGTTTGTGCTGGTGCTTTGATGATGTCTAACGTAGCTTTAGCCTTCTTGGAACCAACTATCTCACTTTGGATGGAAGATCACAATATAACCCACGATTATTGGAAAATGGGTATGATATGGTTACCAGCATTTTTCCCTCACGTTATCGGCGTCATTATAACCGTCAAAATGGCCAAACAGTATCCTCAACATACTTGGTTAATGGCAGCCGGTGGTCTAGCTCTCGAAGGTCTCTGTTGTTTCATCATACCATTCTCGAGCTCGTACAAGGCCCTAATGATACCTATTTGTGGAATTTGTTTTGGTATTGCTCTAATCGATACTGCGTTGTTGCCGACCCTAGGATATCTCGTGGATGTTAGATATGTGTCGGTTTACGGCAGCATTTATGCCATCGCTGACATTTCTTACAGCGTCGCGTATGCGGTTGGTCCGATAATAGCTGGCGGTGTTGTTGAGGCTATCGGTTTTACGGCGCTCAACATTGGAATAGCATTTTCCAATCTTCTTTACGCACCTGTACTCTATTACCTCAGACATATCTACGATTTTAAGCCATTGCAAGACGAGGCTAACGTTCTCATGCAAGATCCACCTGACAAGGAATATCAAACTTACGCACTTCAAGATCAAAGACCGATACCAAATGAACTTGGTAATCATTTGAATCAAACCCGCATGGAAACTAACATCGATCAAACTTATGATCCGAATTATCAGACTATGCAAAATACCGGATACGATCAGAGTACGGTATACGGTCAAAACGTTGCCGTAACGGGTTATAATCAAACCGGTGGTTATGAACAACAACCACCACCTATTTATGGACAACAACAGCCGCAAGGACCCTTAAATTATGCTCAACCAGTTGGATATGTCCAACCACAACCACTGCAACAATCCCAACCATCGTTACAACAACAACAACAACCTTATATACAACAGGATGTACAAGAACAACGGGGATCTCAAATGGATGTTAATCCGTTTAGAAGAGCTCCACCTGATGTTGAACAACAAAGACCGTCAAGTGACAGCAATCCTTTTAGGCAAGGATTGTTCTAGTCATCCACATACTTTAACAAAATTAACAACAACGTGAGGAGAATTTAAACAAATACAGGATATCAAATATTATATTATATCGATAATCCTAATCGACATCGAGTTTTCGAGATTAGTCTTCGAAAGATAGGCTTCCAGTTATAAACAAAGAAGATTAAGGTGAAGATGAAGAAGAAGAAAAAAAATATGATGGGACGACTCTTCATTTTGCAATCGATTCAACCCCATTGGTGTATACTAAAAGTATAATTCTTTCTTTTTTATTTCTTTTTAATTTTTTTTTCAATGCTTCATATAATTAATTCTATTCCTCGATAAAAGAAGAAAATGCTACAACATACAAGTACACGTTTACACATATATACACATACACACACACAACGAATCTCTCAAACAGTAATCGCACAATTTAAAATATATTATAATATGACAATTGAATGTTTTAACAACAGTTTGGCAACATTACAACAAGAATTGTAATCAAGCAACTGAAGAAAATAATGAGACAAAAATACACACATACACATACACACAAAACGAATCTCTCAAACATTGATAAGAAAAATATATTACAAGGATTTAAGTGTTTTCAAGATAAAACAAAAAAATCTAATGAAACCGTTGAAAAAAATAAAGAGAAAAATAATCATATTATAACAATTCTGCTTATCTAATCAATTATCTAATATAAATATTTGAATCTAAAATAAAATATTAAAAATAATACTTCAACCTTTGCAACAAAATATCTTCCGCCCCTAATCCTGAATCGTCCGTCAAAAAAAGAAAATCCCCTTCCCCAAAAAGAAATAAAACAAAAAAAAATGAAATTAACAAAAAGAAAAAGTAATATAAATTACGAGATATGTGTGCCAGATTAAAAAACAAAGAGAAAACAAAGAAAAAAGAGAGAAAGATAAGGGTAAACGTACCCCGTTACGTTTCCACCATTAAAAAAAGGCACCAAAAAAAAATTACGTAAAAAATACGAGAAATGTTAGATTAACGTTCCTGTGAGTGTTATTTAAACTAACAACCAAACCCATTACTACAACAACAGCAACAACAACAACGACAACAATGCCACCACCATTATACCACCATAATCATTATCATCATTATCATAATTATCATTAGTACCATCTACGATCACCAAGGAACCAAATAATGTATTATGAAGAAGGATTAACAAAGATATTAATAATAATAATTAAAAAATAAAAAAAAATAAAGGAAGAAAAATAAAACAAAAAAATACAAAAAAAATATATAAAGAAAAGAGACAAAATTGTTCGAAGAAAAAAGTTGGTGCTAAGAATCGCGTTATAAATAATCGAGGAAACAAGTATATAGTAAATTACGTAGAAAATGAAAGATAGTATGCGAGCATGAACGAAAAAACGCGAGAGAGAGAGAGAGAGAGAGAGAGAGAATGATAGTAATTACGTCTATACAGTGTGAATGAATAAAAAGAGAAGGAGATATCCGAGTATTGAAGGCTTCCACTCAGCAAGGACCTTCTTTAACGGATTGCCAAGTAAGGCAAATTTTTCAGTTTTTAATACTAATGTTTCAGTTAAAACGTTATCATTGCTGAATTGAAATACCATATCATTAGTTAAGAAATACGAAGAAATAAATAATAAAGAAAATAAGAGGGAGTGGAAGAGAGATCTATAATATATGTATATTAAGGCTTTAATATTAGGTATTATAAATAATTAATTAATTAGGATAAAGGGACACATCGTTTCGAAATAAAAAAATGTCTCTGAGATTTAAACAGTTCGTTTTATCAAGGTGACAAAGTACCGTTCTTATTTATGGTTTTAACTCTCTATAATATCATATATGTACATATATATTTTAATTGAAATATTTCAAATGTATAGAGATAAATGTATAATACTTGAAACAATTTTTTATTAAAATTGTATGCACGATTTGTTTGTTTTTTTTTTTTTATTTATATTCTTTTTTATCCTTTTAAAGTATTATACCGAGAGTTTCTGAAGAGTTATAGGGTTATACAATATATTTTTTTGTTTATTCGAAAACACGTGATAGTTTTATTATTTAAAATAGGAACCTTAATATATTTTATATTCATATATAATTCAATTTGTTTTATAAAGAGTAAAATAATTAATTTAGAAAAGGTAAATATACGTTTTACTTTGTACTTTATTTTTCTTAATCCTTATAATAAATTTCATTATAGAGGGTTAATTAATACAAGAACTTTGATTAGATACTTTCACTCTAACGAAAGGTTGCAATATTAGGAAAAAGTATATTATAAAAAAACAAATCTAAACATATCTAATATTTTCGATTAAAATTAAAATTTTTCCTTATCGAAAGTGTTCCCAAGTTTATTTAGATATCAATTATAACAATAATTAGACGTACATATTTATCTATGTACGATGTCTCTCTATATACACATGTTAGATATTATACATATATATGTATGTATATACATAACATATACGTATACATATATCATATATCATATCACATATAATTAGTTTATAAAATA